TATATAAAAATATGGTTTTTATATATATCTATATATAAAAATTCACAGTCATCCTGGCATACTGAGGCTTATAAACAAGAACGTAAAAGCAGATCGGTGAGGCTTTGGGTGTTGTGTACACTTTAACTGCAATGGGTTTGCATTGTAACTTTATTTTATCTGTATCTGAGCAGATTAGTATTTAATACTAAAGACTTAAAGTAAATAGATTGCTGCATCAAGTAATAGAATTTGATTTGAGTTTGGTTAAAACAAAAACCGCAACAAAAGCAACTCCCCCATGCGTAACAAAAACTCACAACAGAAGCATTTTAAATTCATGTGTTTGGATGAAAAATTAGTTACGTTATTTTTATTTCTTTTGCCACTAGGTGTGCATACCTGTTTTGTGTGTAAAGAGAAAAAGGCAGATGTGAAACGCTGTGTCGTATCCCACTGTGGAAAATTCTACCATGAAGCTTGTGTGAAAAAATTTCATCTTACTGTGTTTGAGAACAGGGGGTTTCGATGTCCTCTCCACAGCTGCCTAAGTTGTCATGTTAGTAACCCCTCACATCCACGAATTTCAAAAGGTAGTTTCATTTTATGTTTTTATGACTGATGAATTAAGTCTGTGTATGGTATGTTAAGGTGAGGAATCTGTCCATTTAATAGCTGCTAGCTGCAATTTCTCAGACATGTATGGACTATTGAGTGACTGAGAATTTTTTTTACAATAGTAATGGAATAAATTTTAGTCAACATTAGTATTTGCCTTGTGTTGTTTTTTTAACTAGCTTTCAATTGTCTATGGTTAACCATGTTAAATCGAGAATGCATATATGCCGAGGAGAGACAGGCTGAGCAGAGAGAGGGCAAGACCTGTGGCTGCACAAATACTGCAGCAAGCCTGGCCAAATGTGGAGACATTTGATTCTGTGCATAGTTTTAGCTTTGGGCAACACCTGTAGACGAAATTGCATGGCTGAGGAAAGCTTGTCTGCCTTGGCGTGCATAGTTAAAGCCTTCACATTTAACGATTACAGTGCTTCAAACTCAGTGTAGCGTTCTTTAAAAACCTGTGTTAATTCAGTATTGTTGCTAAATGCAAGTATGCAGACTTTGAAAACATAATTGATACCTTTTTCGTGTATATAGGCTACCTCAGGCAGTACTGCTGGTTTTTAGCTCAAATAATAAATCAGTTCAAAAATAATATGGCAGTATTCTGCTTTGCTAGGAAAGATGATGCGTTGTGTTCGCTGTCCTGTTGCATACCACGCTGGAGACGTTTGCATTGCTGCGGGATGTGCAGTCATCGCTTCCAACAGCATTGTTTGTACGAATCATTTCACTGCCATGAAGGGAAAAAGTCATCATGCGCATGTCAATGTGAGCTGGTGCTTTGTATGTTCAAAAGGTAAACTGATGTAAAACTCTTTCATAAATGCAGCATCAAAACGATTTATTCTTCAATTTAAATTTTATTTTGCTAGCCTGTTTTTTATAGAAAATTATTACAAATGTGACATATTAAGTTAGGCTCCATTACATATTGAAGTAACTTCAGGTTGGCTTATGCTGCTTGAAGTTTTTGAGCATCATTTTTTTGCAGATATAATTTATTAAAGAATGTTTTCACTTGGACTTTGTCCAGGAACCAGAAGCCTGATTTAATTCTTTACCAGACATATATGATGAGAAGTATTTCTCTGTTCTTTCCCCTGTGTTCAGTGTACCGAAGATTTTGTTCCTTTATTGCTAATACGTAATATTAAAACGTAAATATTTTAAGAGTTGTGTTAAGTTTAGCAGCAGACAGCAAATTGTATCAATATTAGTTGTTGCTGAGAGTGCCACTAATTAAGGGCGTGTTTTGTTTTATGTTCTACAATGAATTTATTTCTTATTGAGAACCACAGAATGCACAGTGCTGATTAAACTGTAGCAGTGAAAGTTTACCTGATTTGTTAACAAATTAACATGAAGCGTAGCAGCTTTTAAGCTGCAGCTAACTTTCCACTTGATAATTCATGGAACAAACTAACAACCTCATTCCCTCTCCCCCCAGGAAAAATAACATTTAAAAATTCTGTTGTTAAAAATTTGCATACAGTGATATATTACTATATATTAAACTATGTTAAATATTGTAGTCATTAAAGCAAAACAAAGTAATTATAATTGGCAGTGCATTTTTCTGGCTTTTTTATTGCTAGCTTGCTTCTTATTTTGTATGTATTAACTAATCTGAGTCTGCCAGGCATTCAAATTAGTAAGGAACTTTTGGGTTTTGTACACAACTGAACAATATGTATTTGTCGCAGGCCAGCATGTTTTAACCATTTATTTTCTCACTGAACCTACCACATGCGTATCGCACTGCTTTGAATCTGGCTGGAATGCAAAACTTTTCTTTTTGTCTCAATGTTTTTAAACCTTTTTTTTTTTTTTTTTTTTTTTTCTCCCCTCTCTGAAGGAGGAAGCTTGTTGTGCTGCGAGTCATGTCCTGCGGCATTTCACCCAGACTGTTTAAACATTGAAATGCCGGATGGGAGCTGGTACTGCAATGACTGCAGGGCGGGGAAGAAGCTCCATTTCCAGGATATTATTTGGGTTAAGCTGGGAAATTACAGGTCTGATGAACAGATTTGTTTTGTTTTACAGTAGTGGCGTGTTTAATTAAGGATCATACAATTGGTTGCTTCTGTAGGCCGGCCTTGCTGCACACAGGTTTTTCATTCCTCTGTGAACTAGGGACCGCTTCCCACTTCGAGTTCAAAGACTTGTAGCTTCAGTGTCGCTGTCGGCCGAGGCATGACCCGTACAGGACTCTGTGTAGTCTTCTGAAACCTGCTTCCAGCCTATGAGTCTTCAACCCCTTTTGTTTCAGAGGCGTCTTCAAATAATTAAGCTGGCATAACTTGTAGTTGGCTAAATTACTACCTTACAGGCTGGGAGATAAGTCACTCAGGTTGTCAGTGGTTTACATTTCATTGAGATTTGGGTGAGAGAGAGGGGGTTGGGCTTTATGCTAGAAGGCATTAATAACTATTATCAGCTGTCCCTTGATCTTTGACAGTTACAGTGATTGCAGGCCTTGTGAAAGATGACAGTTTTTGCAAACCAGATGCAAGGAGGTCTGTGTATATGCTTATCTTGCAGGGGGGCCAAAGTCCCAGAGATTTGAGTGTGGGGCTTTCCTTTTCTAGTCCTGTCTTCTTTCATTACCTCATGAGTGAGGGGAGGAAAGGATTTTAAATCCACTTGGATCTTGGAGATAAGAATCAGTTACTTCTGCTTAGGGTGATTTTGTTAAACTGTCTCTTGTAGAAAGAGCTTGACTAAACTGCTGTATTTTTTATTTGTACTTCTGTGCTAGATGGTGGCCTGCAGAAGTTTGCCATCCGAAAAACGTTCCCCCAAATATCCAGAAAATGAAGCATGAAATTGGAGAATTTCCTGTGTTTTTCTTTGGTTCTAAGGATTACTATTGGACGCACCAAGCACGGGTGTTTCCTTATATGGAGGGAGACAGAGGGAGTAGGTACCAAGGGATCAAAGGAATCGGAAAAGTCTTCAAAAATGGTACATAGCTAAAAGTAAACAAAAATAAATCTTGTGATGTGCATGCTTTACTTTCCTCGCACATAGCCTGGGTCTGGTTTTGGTTTACAGTATTAAACATTTGTTTTACAATATTGAATTAAAAAAAGAGTTTTGATCTCCTGGGCAGCAGTCACTATTACTAACTTTAAATGGAAGCATTCTTTTTGTGGCTTGTAGAAGACTAGCATCTAATTGGAATTATTTCTGATGATTTTTACTTTCCGGAAAGGAAATGATAAGGGTAACTGGGAGACAGAAAGAGTGGAATTGATACATCTGTTAAGAGCATTAACATTCCAGAAGCATTGTTTTCAAGAAAACTGGGTGATGGGACTAGGAAGTAGAAGATGATTCTTTGTTTAATGCACAAGGGAAATGAGCAAGTCAACCTGGGGGGAGTAATCCTTTCTCTAGCATTTCTGTTGATACGACAATCTTTTTTAGCTTTGCAAGAAGCTGAAGCTCGATTTCGAGAAATAAAGCTACAGCGAGAAGCCAAAGAAACCCAAGAAAGTGAACGTAAACCTCCACCGTACAAGCATATTAAGGTAAAGTTTGAGGAAATTACACTGGATGCTCAAAGGTCTAAGCCAGCACTAGAGAGGAAGAGCTGAGTGGTGAGGTAGGGAGGAGAGATGGTAATGATGTGCTGGTAATTGTGCTTTTACAGTCGTGAGATGATGAAATTTTGCTCCCATTGGAACATCTGGTGTTGCAAAAACAGATTAGTAGCCACTGTAGTAACTCTTAAAATAAATTCCGATGTTTTAAAGTGATGTTTGAACTATTTTAATGTATTATTCAGGTGAATAAACCTTGTGGTAAAGTACAGATATATACTGCTGACATTTCTGAGATTCCCAAGTGCAACTGCAAACCCACAGATGAAAACCCTTGTGGCTTTGATTCTGAATGCCTGAATCGGATGCTGATGTACGAGTGCCATCCACAAGTTTGTCCAGCAGGAGAACGGTGCCAAAACCAGTGCTTTACAAAACGTCAATACCCTGAGACAAAGATCATCAAAACCGACGGGAAAGGGTGGGGTCTGGTCGCTAAGAGGGACATTAAAAAGGTATGAATCGTTCTTACCCAGCAAAGAATTGGCGACTTGTGATGTTGTTTGTGGGTTTGGTATATACTTTACTAGTGATGCTTGGTATCTTTCAGGGAGAGTTTGTGAATGAGTATGTTGGTGAGCTGATTGATGAAGAGGAATGCATGGCAAGAATCAAATATGCACATGAAAATGACATTACTCATTTCTATATGCTTACAATTGATAAGGTAGAGTATTTTACATTTTTTCCATTATTTAATTGTAACATTATTTTGATCTCTCTTCCTTCTCTTGATCACCTTGGTAGGGCCCTTTGCTACCTTCGATGTTCCACAGTTTCATATATTCACAATGTTGTATCTTCTGTGCCTGATTGCTCCATTCTGTATATAATGCATCTCATTAGGTCTAACTGCATAATGCAGAAACGTGTATATTAAGGTCTACAAGTTGTGCTTTGTTGCTTGATATCAAGTTCAGCGGAAGTATGTATCTGCCTAGTCTTAAAAGGAAGTATGAAGTTTCAGGAAATAGTAATGATACAGTTGAAAGAATTACTGTTAGCAATCCTTCTACTAAAATTTCAACAACAAAAAGAAATTCTCACTTGAGAGTAGTGTGGAATATAGTTGTGAGGGTGTGTCCTATATTGGGCTTTTAACCTTTTTTGCAACTATTCGTGCCTTTCTTTGGTTATTGTAAAACTAGGCTTGTGCTTTTGTAGAAACTCTCTTCTGAAAGCACTACCTACATTAGTAGCCAGCCAGCACTCACACATTGATTCTGCAGCAAATTAATCCAGCAGATTAATTAATGCAGCAAATTAATCCACCATTTGTGGTTCTCTGTGCACACCTCTGAGTATTTTGTTCCTGTGAAGGGGAAGAAAGTAGAGAACCCAGACAGTAGGGGGTATTGATTATATATGTTATATTGCTTCAGTCCCCAAACAGCTACTTAGGAGAACAAGAGTTGGCTGTCAGTCCTGCATACGTTTTTTTGAGTCCTAGCCACCTTTCTTTTACCCAAGACTGTGCTGCTGTGTATTTCCACAGCTACCATTTTCACTAGTCCTGTAACTGAGGAGTTCCTGCACAGGAGTTATCACCTAAGAATGATGAAACCGTGCTTCTCTGAACACAAGTTTCTCACCCCTCTGCTAAACTGACATACAACGTCAGTGCATTAAATATCTGAACTGAACATGCGTTTGACTCTTGCTGTAGTTAATAAATGCTCATTATGGTCCTATCTTGCAAAAATGCCCCTGCCAGTATAAGGCTGAGCTGCACATGCAGTTAGAGTGGCTGTATGTGTGCGCACGTAGGCGTGACAATCGTACACGTGCATTATAAAAGTGAGTTAGAAGGAAACTAATGATATTTCATCAATAAGCAAAGCTTTCATGAGCAGCTCTGCAAAGAAACACAGTTCTGGCTATTTCAAGACTTTATTTTGTTAATGTCTGGTATGTTTGGTGGAAACAGAGATTAAAAGGCAATTGTGTGTAGGGATGGAATTTTTTTTTAGTTTACCAAGAGCTTGTTTTTGTTTAAACCAGGCTGATTTGGGGAAAGAAAGCTGGTGAGAAACTGGTAATCTCTGCAAGTAATCATGCAGTGATTTGGTAAATACCATAAAGCACAGCGTTTGTAAATGTGTCACAGCTTTGTGAATGCACGGTAAAAGGTAAACGGACTGAGTTTGAGTTTTGAGGCTTTCTGGAGGGAGGGGTTCTTTAACATGACCACCGCAGTGCTCACAAGAACACTTATCCTGCCGTGTGGCTGCGATGGGTGCTAGGAAAATGTGAGCTAGAGCACAAGTATTGCTTTGGGAGTGTCACATTCCAGGCCACATGAGACACTACAGTTTTCAATACCACATGTACCATCGGTTTGCTTGTGTGCTTCTGGGTAGCCACCCCACGTCTGTTTTGAATGCAACTACTGAAATAATTTATGGATTTTTTTTGTGTGTGAGAGGGGGAGAAAAAACATTCATTCTGTTGCTGGTTTGATCTCCAGGACCGTATTATTGATGCTGGCCCCAAAGGAAACTATTCTCGGTTTATGAATCACAGCTGCCAACCAAATTGTGAAACTCTAAAATGGACAGTAAACGGAGACACTCGTGTCGGCCTGTTTGCTGTGTGCGATATTCCTGCAGGTATATCCCCTTATCTTGGTTTCTGTTTAATTCCCTAAGTGAAACCTTTTGCGCAGTTATGAGTGGGACGGTCGTGTTTTGACTGATTCAGTGCAAATATTTTGTAGAGAGCTCAGCACATGGAAGAGATGCTTTGTGATCCGCCTTTTACTTTAATGTTTCTTAATAAGGAGTCCAATGGCTGCTTTTTGTTGCTTGCTTCTAAGGGAACAGAGAGCCCCTAGTTCGTATCCTTGCATTCACTTCGTGTTGTAACAGCATAGTTTTTGTTTTAGAGGTCTCAAACAGTACTTCTGCATCTTTTTGAGTGAAGGTAATAAACTTAAGGAGTGGATGTAGGAGGCTATTTGAAAGTATGTATGTTCTGGTTTGTGTACACGCATGCACACACACACATATCTATCTGTGGCTATATCTAGCTGTATAGACACACAGATCTATATAATGTGTGTGTGTGTAGACCAGACACCTGCATAGTTTTGTGAAGTCGAACAAATTTATTTTAAAATGTAATTACATAAGTACATGCTGTACTGGCATCTAGTTAATCTTTAGTGCTTATGAGCAGTAAAGAGGGAGAAAATCCTGTGATCAATAGATCAGCAAGCAACTACAAAAGCAGAAGACAGATAATGAAACCTTTATTTGTTTGTAATAATTTTGATAGACTTTGTTACCATGTCCTTCATCATGAAAGGGTATATCTTATCTCGCTCAGGGACAGAGCTGACTTTTAATTACAACCTTGACTGTCTGGGAAATGAAAAAACAGTCTGCAAATGTGGTGCCCCAAACTGCAGTGGATTTCTTGGGGACAGACCAAAGGCAAGTAATATATCAAGAGATTTTGTCAGTGTCTTGTCTGCTAGCCTTGGTTTTTCTTTGGGGGTATGCATTGGTGGGACCAGTTTTATGTTATGATAAGGGCTGATGCTGCTTGAATAGATGCTAGCTGTCCGCTGAGGAAAAAGCTGGCTGTTGCTGGGAAGTTGGAAACATTCTTTTGCCAAACATAACCTTGGTGCTAAAGAATACATTTTTGTGCTGTAATACTACAGCAGGCGATACTGGTTTTGGGAACACCCTAAAATATTTTCTCCCACTTCCTCCTATGAGAAATTCATTACTTTGGGTCCCGAATAAGAACTACCGCTAGCTTCTGGAATCAAGAGAGTATAAGAAAAGGGGTTGCAGAAGGAATAACCTTTCCAGTCCCATTTGAAGTATGGGGAGGGGAAGGGTTGTAGGAGCTAGGAACCGACTCAGAACAAGCCTAACTATAGTCAGTAAGATTGTTCTGACATTGCAGTTTGTATTTCTCCCATCTAAACCTTAAAATACAAATATTTTGTTAAGATTTGTTAAAAAAATTTCAGTTGAACTAAAGGATAAAAAATGTGAGTTTTAGATGAGGAAAAATGATACCAAATTACACCAAGAAATGACCTGAATGATTTGTGTCAGGTTAATTTAAAGCCTGTAATCTAGCAGAATTCAATGGGGCTTCCTGAAGGGTTGGCACAGGACTGCGGGGGAAGGCACAAGTACATTCCCAAGAGAAAAAAAATCTCACCTGTGGATGGAGAAAGGCTGCACCTTCACGTGGTCCTTCACACTGCTCAGTATCAAGCACTCCAGAGGGTGGACTTAAAATCTCCAGAATTCACATAGCTGGTTTTTGTTAAGGGAGGGGCCTAAGTGAGGTTTCACATGAGCTTGTGATCAGTTTACGCAGACAGACATGAAGAAATGAAACATAACAGTTCAGTTTTGCAGGGCTGTCTGCATTGGTAGATAGAATGCGCTAATTGAAAAGTAGGTAGGTAATGATTACGGGGGTGAGGGGGAGATAATGATGGTAGGGATGTTGAAAAAACATCCTGAATGAATGTCATGTAATTTGGTGAAGGAGAGTTGAAGTGCAAGCAGCAGAATGTCAGAGTGAAATAGGGATAAGGTTTGGTATATTCTTTCTAGCATTATGAGCACAGCTACAGATCATGACATTCTGCTGTCCCTCAAAGAGAAGTGGAGACTGGTTTTAGTGATTCCAGCATGAGTATGTACAACTCAAAGAGAAAAATGCATGTTGAAGTGATTGGTGGTGCAAGAACAAAATGGGGGTAAGTTAGTTGCAAGTAGATCAGACGGGAAATTGGAAGACCTTTTTTCAGTGATAAGAAAGTGGAAGAGCTTTCCAGTAGGAACGGGTTGTAGGGACAAGATCTGGTTTCAAGACGACTTTTCATAAGGGTCAGTATGGGGATTTCTTGTCAGCACAGATCAGTACGGTGAGGCACTGGACAGGTCTGCACCAAGTCAAATTTTTGCCTGTGTGCACGGTCTGCCCGGCACGCCAACTGTTTTACTAGGTTGTGTAATATTTTTCCTTTGCAAAACTGGCATTTACAGATTTGCATCTTACTCTTTTAGAATTCTTCCACTAATGCCTCAGAAGAAAAAGGCAAAAAGACCAAAAAGAGAACACGAAGACGCAGAACGAAAAATGAAGGAAAGAAAGAATCCGAAGATGATTGTTTCCGCTGTGGTGATGGAGGCCAGCTGGTATTGTGCGACAGGAAATCTTGTACTAAAGCTTATCATCTCTCCTGTCTTGGTTTGGTGAAACGTCCCTTTGGTGAGTCGGCTTGCTTCTTAAACTTCTGTGAATAAGTAACTTGTGCAGGTCCCGTATTTATTGCACTGAAACCTTGTCAGGAGTGTCGTCTTCAAAACATTGTTTTCGTATGGTGAGAACTTCATTCTTGCATCAAGAAGGATGTACTCATGTTCTTGAGTATGGAGACAAAACGGTGGCCTTCCTCCTGCCTCTCTGGCATAATGAGCCTTTCGTTTTACAAGCGTACGTAACTGAACACATCACTCAGTAGGAGCACTGTGGCCCTGTCACAGGAAGGTTGGTTATATCTAAGAAATGCTTGAAGCCGGTTGAGTTCAAGCCAAAAGAATAGCAGCAGCATCTGGAACAAGGCGAGTAGGAAAATGTGAAGGGTAGCAGACATCAGGTTGCACTTCTAGATACCCCAGCAGTTACATGGTTCCAGTGAGCCATGTCAGGTGGGGTGCAAAGAAGTGAAGCAGGCAAAGCCTGTTATCCCAGAAACAGGTAAAACAATGACTGGTAAAATATTCTGGGGCAAAGGAGCATATGTAGGTAAATCACACCAGCCCTATCCCTGGGCAAAACTTGTACCAAATAGGCGAGCATTGTAATGGTTGACTGCAAGTTCTGTAAAATGCTATTGAGTAAAGCCTGAATAATTTCTCCTAGCTGGAGCTGATGTATTTAAATGAGAGGATGGCAAGTCTGCTACTTACTGCTGTCAGTTGAACTTTAGAAGTATGATGTAGCATTTTGATTTTCGAGATTAGCCACGGTAGCTGCTGTCTCATCTTGCTTTGTCAGGACAGTCGTGTGTTGTTCAGCTGCTAAAAATCCCAGGAAACTTCTTTAAAAGACCATGACACATTCCACTCCCCGCTAATGCGCTCTTTGTTTTTGATCGCAGGAAAGTGGGAGTGTCCTTGGCACCACTGTGATGTTTGTGGCAAACCTTCTGTTTCTTTCTGCCACTTCTGCCCAAATTCTTTCTGCAAGGAACACCAAGATGGGACAGTACTAAATTCTATGTTGAATGGACAGTTATGCTGCTCTGAACACGTTCTCGGGGTGGATTCTGTTGAAACTCAGAAGACTGAGAAACCCCGCAAAAAACTGAACAAGTTGAAGCCTAAGAGAAAGCAGAGGAACAGATGGATGAGAGCTGAATGCAAATAGTCATGGACTGCAGTTTCTACTGCCAACACTATCTTGTAGATAAGTTGTGAATATGACCAGGGAAGGACACAATTTTACATATATTCTGTAAAGGTTACATGGGGGGGGATTTTTTGTTTTGTTTTGTTTTGTTTTTATAAATCCACTGAGCCAACCACAGCAGTCTTCTGCTGCTTCTGCACTGATAACGAACTGCATAGTTCAGAAAATTTCAGGACAAACCAAACTTATTACTCAGCATTACAGTTACACTTGAATTGTTACGAATGTAAAAGGTTCCCTCCAAAATACTTTCAGATTGGAGGTAGGTTAAAATCAAACCAGGTAGGCGTAAACATAGGTTTTTGAGATAGTATTTGTCAACCAACAGATGTTTAAAATAGTATATCCTTGAAAGAAGTTATTAGCTCTCAAGTCCTTTTAAGTAAGAAATGGCTTGGTCTGTGGTCCCAATGAGATTTGCTTGCCTTGTGAGTTTTTGAGCAAGTGCTTGAATGCCATTCACGATCGTGTCTCGCTATAACCACACACATAACAATTTGTTCGTGCTCTTATAAAATAGCTCTCCAATGATTCTTAAACAAACATGTTTTTAAATATCCCTCCACCAAGAAATGTAGTGCGTGGTGGGAAAAGCACGCCCTGTACCAGAGAGGGGGAATCTTAACATCGTAGGAGATTTTTTTCTATACTGTTTTTTCCTGTATTTCATTCCAGCAAAATAGAAGTGACTCGATCTTGCAGAGCTGTACAAGTCTGGATTTAAAGGGATATTGTCTTACAATCTAGGCCAAATACTCTAGGATTTTTGTGTCTTAATAAAAATGAATCTTACAAAACATATTATTTGAAAAAAAAAAAAATTTTTTTTTTTCCTTAATGTCAAGAAAAACACAGAGGCAAACATTTGTTTGGAATGCTTGGAGTCCAGGCATTACAACTTTATGATAGTGCAAAAAACACCCAACAAGGAACAAAAAAAACCCCATGAATGAAACAGAAGGTGCAACTTTACTGAAGTGCCAAAACTAAGTTCAAAACAACTAGTTAAAACTGAAATAAATTTTGAAGAAGCACATAAGGAACGCTTTTAATGTGAAATTTAGCCTGACTCTGTTCCTTTTGATAAAGTTTGTATAAAACTGGCTACTTGACTTGGCAGACTGAAAATATTCTTTACTTTTTTAGGAGCTCTGCTCTCGACTATTTTATCGCCACTGTGTTGTGTCAGCAAAGGTGTTTTGAATACTTTGCTGCCATTAGGTTCTCACACTTGCAGTGAGATAAATATACAAGATTTAGTATTGGTGGAAGTAATATTAGAACTAGGAAAAAACGGTAAAGAAAAATGTCTTTACCTGTTTTCTTCCCAGTGCATGTCATTGGTGTGTGATTAGGCAGTGTTACAAGTAAGTTTTGACTTGTGCCATTGTTACCTAGCCTGTGTAAACACAATGTGCACCTTCATGTCCATTTAGTAATTTGTGTATGTTCTAGCTTAGTTTGCCTTTAATAGTGCAGAAACTCTGTGTAGCCCTTTTGAAAATGAAGCCTTGCTATATCATGAAAGTTTTTGGGTTTTTTCCAAAGTATTTCTTCAGGATTCGATTGCAGATTTAGTTTCTGGAATTATCAAAATCCCCATTTGTTCCCAACACATAAAAACTTTGGGTTTATTAGAAGATATTAATCAAAAGAGGTTTTAAATGTAGCATTGCCCTATCCTGATCTCTTTGGTTTCTATTTGGTCACCAAACTGCTTTGTTCTTCGGATTAATTTTTATAAACGCTGTTGGAAGGTGAATTTTTTTTTCAAATAATTTTGAAAAAAATAGCACAGTTCAAAATAGGGGGAAGTGTTACATGTTTGCATTTTTTGAAGTGGTATGTCAAGTCTTGCACTCGAGCCTAAAAATCAAGATTTCTTAATTGATTTTGAGGGAAACTTTCCCTCTGCTATAGATATTTGTCATACCAGGATTGAAGCATAGGCCTGTGCCTAAAACCAAACCCAAAAACTGGTGTTATGTATGTTTCTCTAATACTGGGTTTTGAGGGGAGGAAAGTGAGATCAGGTAGTAAAGCAGAGAAGTTTTCCTCATTGCTTTTAAACAAAATGAAGGAATTTGATGTCATTGGGACCATTCTTTGAGTACTATACCGTGTAAGGAAGGCTTTATAAGAATACCTTAAAATAAGTTATTATAAAATTTTACCTTTACATTCCATTGCTTTTATAATTTGTTATTTTTTTAGTTGTTTCGTTGCTTTTTCCTGTTCATATATAGGTGTAACAGCTCTGGCACCCTGGAACAGTTATGCCCCAGGTCCTAAGAGGCAGATACCCACTTCCAGAAGCCACCATCTCAAATAGTTACTGACTGGCACTGCTGCAGTAACACCATCTGTTTTAAGATCGGTCGCGGAGCCTACAACTCCCTCACAAGCACATTTAGTACGGCAGGATGCAGGACAGCCACCCGTTTTGTATCTGTCTGTGGGTAAATAAAGACTTTGGCGTTCAAAGCAATCCCTCTCAGCGCTCTTTTCGTAACGTTAAATTGACACAAACAGATCTCAGCAAGTGGCTGTTTGACTTTCTGCTTCCTTCTACCTCTTCTCTGCTCTTTACGCCTCAGCTCTCTGGGCCAATGAAGGCTTGCATCACTGAGACTGCAAACTAGGAGTTTGCTTTTGAGTCGCTGGGAATTCATTCCTTCTGCTGATCGCATACTTTGGAGACTGATCTTTAAAATAGATGTGGATCATGTTCTCCCTGAAATATGTACTGACCATATAACCCCATGACCTCAGCTAAGTCACTCAGGTGGTGATGTGGTAGAATTTTAGTTTCTAAATCAGGAAAGGTGGGGTTTAGATGTCTTTCAATGAAGGCTTCTGTACCCTACTCTGCAGCACTGGGAAAATGGGCTGAAGTTTTGGTAAAAAAAAGAAGACAAAAGGAAAGTTGTTTCACTATTTTCCTTTTCCCACTGTTCAAATACAAGGGAAAACAATCTTGAAAAATTAAGCTTTCTCATGATGCAACTCCATACTTCTTAGCACTCGGCAGCTTAAAAGATTTTCTGTTACAGGTTCATCTAAGTAACATCTAAGTATGGCATGTTGTGTGGCATTATGTACTTAGTGTCTTGCCCATCAGAGTAGAAAGTTGTCTTTCCTTTTCCAGCAAACTCTTCAAAGCTGGTACATGATAGCCAAATCCAGAATTTGTTGTTCTTTTATCACATGAGCAAGCGTGGAAACAATTTTCAGTTGAATATGTTACATGTATTTTCATACAATCTAGGAAGAATAATCAAATTAAATGTCTGTTTTGTTCAATAGCTTTGTGTTCATGGTCAGTTTTTAGGGTTTTTTTTATTTTAATTACTTGGAAAAGCAAAATATCTTGAAAGACATATCAATGGGATTTTTCCACATTGTTGAGTCACATTATTCTGTGTCTGACTGCTTGAGAAACTTCAGTGTCTTATTAAATATTAAAATTTATTCCTAGTTATTTAAGAAGTTGCTAATTCTTTTTTTTTTTTTTGAAACATCTCTATATAGTTATTTTTGCACCATTTTTTTTCTTTAAAGAAAAGAAAAGGGAAAAGGGTACATAGTAAGCAAGCGTGGTTTGGCAGTGAGGGAACTGGACATTGTTCTCTCATAGTGAGAACTTAAATTCCGAGACTTCCTAAGAGACTCTCAAGAGCTTTTCAGAAAATTGCTTTGGTACTAATGGATTACTGTTCTGCTGAGATCCTCTGGTGCTGTGCATCAGGATGGTGTCCTTTGCTGCTCCTGTGAAAAGCCACAGTTTTTTTGCCAGCTGAGAAACTTAATGCCTGTGTACCAAATCGACAGCGTGGGAGAGGCTGTTGGAGAGGATGGGGGGAGGCCTGCCTGTGCTGTGCAGTGGAGTTTGGGGTATGGGTATAGGTACTGTCCTGCTGCTGATCCGGATTAGAATGGTTTGGGTTGGAAGGAACCTTGAAAGGCCATCTAGTCCGACCCCCCCCACCTTGGGCAGGGGCATCTTCTGCTACATCAGGTTGCTCAAAGCCCCATCCCAGCCTGACCTTGAACACTTCCAAGGATGGGGCATCCACAGCTTCTCCAGGCAACCTGTCTGACCACAAAGGACGATGTAATACCTCGCTTCCCATCCATTTATTCACCTGTCATAGTTAAGAGAGATCAGAGAAGTGGTGATTTCTTTTAAACACTGTGAACAGCACCCCCGGACAGAGGAGAATGAGCAGCTGACTCAACCCCCACTTAACCTCCCACCAGCTGGGTAACTTCAGCTGACTCTGCTGCTGCAGGAGCCCAGTGAAAGACTAATGTGAGCAGTAACACCTGCTTCCACCTCAGTGCACATTCATTTAAAACCATAGATCTTTCTTTTAATAGTAGATACTATTTTTACTAGAGCTGGTGGAGCACAGCGCCGTGACGAAGGGTGGTCTGCCTGGGGTGACGCGGCACACCTCCTGTGTGTGTGAATTGTGCTGGAGGAGGAGTAGGAAGACAACGAGGTGAGAAGAGACCCCAGGTACTGCTTTCACAGAGCAGCTGAAGCTGGCCCCATTACAGTCGATGGGCATTTCCGAGTGCTGGGTGTGCTGGCGAGACCGCAGAAGGCTAAACAACACTGTGAGAAAGAACATGACAGGGAAAATACAGCAAACAGCAAGTTTAAAAAGAGAAGAGTCAACGAGCCACGCAAACACCTACACGGTTTGAAATCATCCCTGTAAAGTACAAACGGCTTCCATTGAACCAGATGGTTAAACTGGGCAGGCTGGACGGGAGAAAGCTTGCCGTGCCACAGCTCCATAGAGGGAGAACAGGTACAAATCACATCTGCTGCTCTCGTGGGTGGGAGGTGAATCAAGTATCAGGGATGAGGGCAGGAACTTTGACAGGCGTTTAAACAACAGGTCTAGTACAGGCACATCTCCTGGGCATGCAGAAATGTGTGAGGCATCTTCCGTGGCTGCAGCATCCTGCTCCGTTTGGCTCCAAAGGATTGACAGTCTCATGTCTTTCTTACTGGTGTGGCTTGGTGGCGAAAGAAACAATTCCTGTGAGGTTTGC